GAGGAAGTGCCGCCAGCGCTTGAGAGCCATCACGAATGCGAGCAGCTCCTTCTTCCTTGCATCATCAAGCGAGTTGATGGGAGGCACTTTGTGGATGAAATACTCCACAGGGTGCCAGTTGTCGCCGTCGTGCTGTTCCAAGACTGCCCCAATGCCATAGCCGGAAGCGTCCGTAGTCACTCGCGTCGGCAGGGTGGGGTCATAGATGCTAAGGACAGATGCCATGAGCATAGCCGTCTTAAGTGCTTGGAATGACCGGCGTGCGTCGTCATCAAATACAAATGGCACCTTTGGCGACTGTAACCTCATTATAGGTGCAGCAATCCTGGAGTATCCGGTGATGAATCGCTGATAGTAGCCCGCCAACCCCATGAATGAACGAACGTCCGTGGAGTTGGTGGGCTCGGGCCATGCTCGTAGGGCCTCGATCTTATCCGCAAGCGGACGGATGCCTTGCGGCGTCACATAGTGTCCCAAGTACTCCAGCTCGTGCTGTGCGAACTCTCACTTGTCACGGTTTGCTTTGTACTTGGCTTGTCGTAGCCGCTTCAAAACGGTGCGCAGGTGTTCCACATGCTCGTCCAAACTCCGACTATACACCAAGATGTCGTCGAGGTAGATGATTACAAACCGATCCAGCATGTGTTGGAACTCCGTTGTCATAGCCGCTTGGAAAGTGGCTGGGGCATTCGTAAGGCCAAATGGCATGACCAGCCATTCGAAATGCCCATACCGTGTCTTGAATGCGGTCTTGTAGCGATCCTCCTTGCGAATCTCGAGTTGGTAGTACCCTGACTTGAGATCCAACTTAGAGAAGAACTGGACGCCGCCCAATCGCTCGAGAAGGTCGTCGATGCGTGGGAGAGGGCCGGCGTTCCTGATCGTCTGCGCGTTGAGCTTGCGATAATCGATGCATAACCACAGGTCCTTGTTCTTCTTCCGGACGAAGAGAACAGGAGCACCGTATGGCGATGAGCTAGGCCGAATCCAGCCTTTCTTTAGAAGGTCGTCGAGTTGTGCCCGAAGCACACTTAACTCTTCCTCGTTCATTCGGTAGATGCAACCGCGCGGAGGTACGGCCCCGTCCTCGAGGATGATCTCGTGGCGGATGGGTCGATCCGGTACTACTCCGTGCGGGCCTTCGAACACGTCGCTGTAGGCATTGAGAAGCTTGGTGATGCGTGGATCCGAAGGTGAGTCCGTCGATGAAGCGTCATGGGACGGGAGGGCGTGGAGAAAACACATCCCCATCTCCTCGATATCGTCTCTGATGATGGAAGCTCGCATGCTTGCAGCGGATACCACGTGGCAGTTGATTGAAGGATGAGGAAGAGGCACCATGCATGGAACTAGTACTCCGTTCTGATCACGAATGTGAACGGTGCGGTGGAAGAAGTTCACCGGGTGATCCTCGCTTCGCAGCCATGACATGCCCAAGATCATGTCAAATTTGGTGTCCAAAATGTCAAAGGACACCGCCTCACTTGTGTGAGGGGCAAAGTACACTGGGACGTTGTCAATGCACCGGTCGATTGACTTGTGCGTGTGACCGTCCGCAAAAGTGACTTGCGTAGGCTGGGGCTTCCTTCGGACGCGTGGGCCAAGGCCGGTGCGCACCATGAAGTCCTGGCTGATGTAGTTGCGAGATGCTCCGCAATCGATCAAGGCACAACAGGTCGCCTCTTCGATATGAATGCGTACGTAGAGCAATGGTGCGTCGATGTCGTCGTACTGTTGCGTCTTGAACTCGCGGTCGATCTTCGCGATGTAAGCGTGAAGGTCGACAACCTCTGCTCCGGCGTCCATCAACGGAGTTGGTACTACAGTGTGCAAGTAATCCCGCAATTGTGCCATAAGCACATTGCAATGCGGTTTCGGCAATCGTCCGGTCGAGGGAACGGGCATCCACTTGAAGTCCGTGAATGTCAACGGGTCGAGCTCTTCAAGTCTTGACCATGACGTCGAATCCCCGGCGATAGATTGCGGCGAAGCTGCCGAATCGGTTGTCGATGGTGATGAAACCGTGCATGCGATGGACTATTGCAGGTGGAGCGGTTGGTCCAGCGGTGGAACCAAGTGGACAACATAATCCTCGTAAGTGTACCGAGGACTTGCGACATTCGCATCCTCCCTAAATGTGCAGGAGGCCGCTAGCAAGGCGGCCGACTTTGGCGGAGGAGAAGGTGGAGTCGCCTCACCTTTCGCGGAGCTCAGTTTCCCGAGCTGAGGCGGGGTCGCAAATCCTCCTTGCCCTGATCCCGACACAGGGAGGTCTTGTGCTTGGTGCTGTTGCACCAATAGCAGTTGTCGTAGCGGCCGCGGACCTTGTACTCCACGTCGGTCAAGCCAAACTTGACCCATGGAACTTGTACTGGCTGTCCATTTCCGGCCTGCGATGCGGATTTCGCCTTCCCATTGTTACGGGACTTGTTGTTGCTTCGCGGCTGGACAGCAGCCACCTGATCTCCGTCACTTGATACTGGAGTGGCTGCTGGGTTATCTCCACTGTCCTGCTGGACTGCAGCGAAGTGCTGCTGTCGCGGACCAGTTCGTACCTTCTCCACATAGGTTGGCTGCCACGTGGACTTCTCGTGTGCAGCCGGCCTGTTAGTCTTGATGAGCTCTCTCGCCTTGTTGATGATCTCTGCGAAAGTGCTGTACTGCTCGCGATCACCAAGTGCGAGGCTGAGAGCGGCGCATGACCTGTTGTAGAACTCACGCCGTAGATGCGGAAATGACAAGTCCAAATCGGGCGTTGCCACGATTTTCTGCCAATCCGTGAGCCAGTCGCGTTGTGAGGAAACCCAGGGAGGGGCGCCTACTGTTTGCTGAAGCCAAGGGCAAAAGCGCCTGTCACTCGCTGCGCCCGCTTCAGAGGTCTTCAGCGAGCAGCAGGGTATCTGGTTTTACACCGCCTGTCAAACGAAGTACGGGTTAGGGGTCTTGGAGAATGGAATGAAGCAGAATGAAAAACTAATTAGAAWGATCCGAACTGGACAAGTCTGCAAATCTGAAATTGGCTCAAAGCCAGTGCTACCCTTTCCCTTAGAAAATGGGATTTCAAGAGGCTCATTTGTTTWCTGCTCTATTTAAAGATTAACAAGAATTTAGCACAGTTCGAACCAATTCATAGTAACGATTTTTCAGCGCGCAACACAGGCCAACARGCRCTCTCAACAGGACAAAAGAAACGATTTGAGCAAACGCTGATAATGGTGAAATAGGTCCAACCCCTGAATGCAGCGTAGCAAGTCTACGGGCAGGTTTGTCCTGCTTCAAAACTCTTGCGCAAACCCATTTTTTKTGTACCTGATTACTGAGAATCAGATGCTAGTGAGGCCGCACATTCTCGTGTGATCGATGGTCTTCGKCCATCGTCATTCCCATTTTATGAGAGCTCAGAACAAGTCCTGCAGGTGTCCGAGACCGGTTCACAACGTTTACAGGAGATCTGCCATTGCTGCTTTTCAAACCRTGATGCTCAATACCTGCTGTGTCAGAGAAGCTTTGTTATCCAATTATTTTGACATCTKCCCCGAGTCAGGCTAGATCTCGTCGGAGTTTCTGCTGTTCACTGGAGATTCTTCTTCCTTTGCAGACGCCTCGAACTGATTCATTGATCTGAGACTGGAATGTTCTTTGTGWGAATTTGTTTGACCTCAGAAGTTACCCCGGTCTAAACCAATGCCCTCACTCAAAGATGGCGACTCTCTTCTCTCCCCCTCGGTCTCTCCCTCTCTCTTCCTCTCTCTCTCTTACTCTCTCTCCTTTCCCTCTATACACYTATATAAACTATACTGTTTCATTCTGTTCCGTTCTGTTCTTCTTCACGACATGCTCTCGATTGAAAGGACAAGCAGCTCCTCAAAGTATACATGCAAGGTTGTGTTAAGCAGTTTGGTGTCACACGGAGCTAATAAGTAGAATGTGCCTGAGCCCGCWGTCRAGGAGTGKGTGTTACTGTCTTTCTTCTCCTTTTGTYTGTTCACCCATTCCTCAGAGCACCAAACGGGCCTTCTCACCCGTGCGTGTATTCACCAGGTTCTACTAAAGAAGTAGAAACGCCTCACCCTCTTACTGAGTCGAAATTGTTCCCACACAGATATACTTGTACCAGGTTCGCTGTTTGTGTCAGGGCTCCTAATGTGGATGGTATGGGCTTACAAAGTCTGATCCATAGCTGCTTCGCGCCGGTTCAACAGTCATAAGAGTATGCCAGGTCGACAGTGGCCATCAGGTCCTCTCGGTAAGGGCGATAAGGCTCGTGCCCCTGTCCTCTGAGTCTCTTCCCTCTCTCCCCCGTCCATACACTGTCATTCCCCTTTTCGAGCCTTTCCCCCCCCACTCATTGAGGCCACACTCATCTGTCACTGCGACTGGGGTCGACTTCACGGGACCCAATTGATAGGCACTCAGACGTAAGTGGAGCTAAACCCACACATCTCGACTGATTGCCGTTTTTAATGCGAGTTCATCCTTCTCGACTGCTGACTCGCTGCCTCTCTCTCCCCCGCATCTGTACCTCTCAAGAACTGGTCGTCTTCTCTAGGCTCTGGGGCAGTAATGCAGCTAGCAACCAGTGGAAAAGAGGATGAATGAATAAATACTTAGAATAACTAAATATTTTGACTCCCTCTCTCCTTCTCTCCTCCCATTCGCTCCTCTCTCTCTTCCTCCCTCTCTCTCTTTCACTCTCTCTCTTGCTGCTCGTTTCTCTCGCTCTCCGTCCTTCGCTGCACTAGCGCGGATCTCTCTGGCTGTAGTGTTGTTCTTCCATTACCTCAGCNCTCTCTCTCTTGCTGCTCGTTTCTCTCGCTCTCCGTCCTTCGCTGCACTAGCGCGGATCTCTCTGGCTGTAGTGTTGTTCTTCCATTACCTCAGCATCACGAGCAGCGCTCATCAGATGTTAAAAGGTACGCCCAACACATGGGGTAAAGCCCTTCGTCCCTCCCWRGGTCTATCTGTGGGCGGACCATGTATCGCGSGTGTGCGCTCGGCTCGCTACAGTCCAACCCCCATCGGCCATGCACGAGTCCAGATGGCCCACGCCTGTGTCAATCGAGCGTTCTTTCCAAGTTTGTTGCTGACGCCTGGCTCGCCCTCGAAACAACTTTTCCCCTATGGTCTCCGGTGCGGGCTGAGAACGCCTGGCACGCTTTCCTTTCCCCACTGTCCGCATGTCGTCTCTACCCCCCCCGCCTCTGTGTCGTGCTCATTCCCCGTCTTACTCGTCAACCGGGCCATCAGAGCCCCGCTCAGAGAGCTAGAGCRGGCTGGGTACACCAGGCGCGCTTCTCGATCTTCCCCCGCCCGCCTGTTCCTCAATCGGTCTWATGCGTGGACTGCRGACACCGAGCATGCACTGAATGAATCCCYAGTCAGCATGCCTCCTCCCCTTCACCGTCCTGGCTATATTTGGGCATAGTAGGCCCCCGTTACACCAGGCCCAGGCGGAGKAGTACCAGCCGCAGATAATAAGGCCYTAGGCCCGTAATTTCTGGTCCACGCGGGTATCCAGTTATTAATCCGGTCCGCCCTCCTTCTATCGTGACCAGATAAGTGGTGTAAACCCTCCTGTTGGAGTAGCCGCAGCCTTCGGCAAGGAGAGAAGRACCAGCCCATCTCACCCAGTATTATTCCATGGCCGAGGTCTGGCCCCAYCCTGTTGTACCACAGTTTTCCACCCGGATGGCCGAGATTGCCGTATCAAGAATGAGCGGAACGATAATGGCCTCTTCCAATAATACCAGCATATCCCGGCCAAGCGTTGTTTCTATTCGCACAACTGCTGTACCTGTCCTAAAATTAGTGGTCCACAGCAACCCCGAAGCAGACCAGCACCGTATCAGGAATTTTCCATGTAAAGCAGCCCCTGTACCTTTGCCATACCATCTCAATGCCGAATACCGTACTGTGCAGCAAATGTCCCGTGCCAGTACCGGGAGAATGACCGTACCGTTGCCCAGTGAACAACGCATTGCCAAACCAAGACCGAACTTTACCAACGCCGCTCACCGCCGATGTCGAACCACCGCCGAAGACCGAACTTTACCAACGCCGCTCACCGCCGATGCCAAACCAAGACCGAACTTACCAACGCCGCTCACCGTTGCCCAGTGAACAACGCAATTAATGCAGCGGCACGTACCTCTCTGATGTCGAACCACTGCTGAGTCTGAAAAATATCGAACACCGCAAAATACCACAATAGCCCATCCCCGTTCCACACTGTAGCAGCTCCTACGGAATACCGCGGAATGTAGACGTCGACCGTGAGTGTCGTGTCCTCACCGAATCATCACCGAACTTGAACCATACCAACCTCAAGGTAATACCTCGCCTGAAAATAAATCAGGTTCCGAACCTGGTAATAAATGTCGGTGATGTGTCCGAACCTGAAGTACGCTGATACTGAGCTCATGCCGAACCAGAACTATGTCTGGCTCTGAGCCAAATACCACACTGTCGGTCCAAAGTAGCACCATCCCACGCCGTCCACTCGGACATCAAAGTAATCAGGTAAATCAGGAAAGTGACAGGGAAAATCTCGACCGTCGGGGGATTGTGAAAAAGGTTTGAGCCCAGAAAAAAACGATCAATCCAGGAATAGAGCTAATGGTGGATAATCCAGCCAGAATCAGGTTAAACTTTTAATAATCCTCAGTTCTCGTCCCTTTCATCGTTTTTAGGATCCCTCCTTTTTCCTAATACTATCGTCGGAAATTGTAGTATATCCGTAAGTCCACCAAAAATACCCGCCGAGGGAGTTTTAATAAAACCGACGAAATTCTTATGTTTCTTTTCTTTTTTTATCGTTTTTAATCTTTTCCTTTGTTTTCTATTCCATTGCCGAAAAACATAAAATAACGGGGTATTTTCCCCAAAACTCAAATGCTGCAAAAAACAAGGAAATTAAGGAATATTACGTTTTTTTCTTCTCTCCTACTGTTCTCAA